CCCGTAAAACGCCCGTGATTGTCCGTGACTCTAGTGTTATTGATCTGAACTGACCTCTTACCTGCTTTTGCACTCTGAATGCAAGTCTGGATTATGGACACGGTTTTATCTACCGGCTAACTCATAGCATAGCTGGGTATTTGCCTTGCCTTTTGCTTGAAATAGAGACCAATCTATCCAACTGGCTATGATGCGACACGTCGGCGACAGTCTTTTGTTTAGCTCAAGTAGATTATTTTAGCATAAACGAAAAGGTCACAATCACATGAAAGTAGATCGCTATCGTACAGAGGAAACGAAGATGACAAGATGGTGTCAATCAATAATACATACAATGATTCGCTGCCGCAACTCTAAGCCCCTTCGACCAAGAGGATACAATGTAGTTAATCAAGAGTTCAAGACACCGGCATATACGTGCATACATACAGATACAATGATTTGCTGCAGGCCTGCAGCAGCGACTCTAAGCTGCTTTGGTGGACCGATAACAAATACAAATCTAATCGTGAATTCGGTGATTTTGCCGAAGATATAACGCTGGTCAAACACGATGATCTTATTATTATTCTTCCTCAATTTCTTCGAAACTGTGTCGATCAGATGCTCTGCAGCCTGCCGTTCCCGCTGAAAATCCGGTTGAGGATCGCCGCCAGCCTCACGCCCCCCTGGGCGAGCCTCTTCTGAACGACCGGCAGCGCCTTGAAGTAGTACTCATCTGCAGTCCAGTTTCAAGGAGATCTCATCACACTTATCCCAAAGAATCACGCATATAAGCATCTAAACTAATCTTATTAATCTGGTGTACCTCCTAGGGTGTCGTCCTGCTCGACGCCCTCGTACGCGTCGCATGCCAGCAACGCGCTCTCCTGGGCGTACCTGCAGCATTCGGTCGTTCTCAGCCGTCAGATTCAGCCTCTGAACATACCAGATTGGATTGCATCATCGTGATGACTGTTGAGCTTACTTTTCAGCGCAGGTGGTGGTTTTGCTGCGGCACGTCTCCCACTGCTTCTCCTCGCTGGACCAGTCGTCCTGCAAGAGATCAACTCAATCAAAAGTTGCTCGAGGTGAAATTAAGCTGAAGCAATGGAGTGAAATGCGGTGCAGAGGTGACTAGTGAGGTAGCTTACGGTGATGTTGCGCTGGATGGACTCGATCATGGCGTCCTGGTCCTTGTCGAAGAAGTCCTTCATGGCCTGCGTGATCACGTCCGAGTCCCACACCTAGTAGTTTGGAAACACAACACCCAAGTCAATTAGCTGGACAGTGAGTAGCTAGGATTGAATCATGCATGGAGCTGAGACGAGTGTCCTGGTATGCGTACGTGGTGCAGGTTGCTCTTCCTCTTGTACCAGCGGAGTTTGATGGTGTTGCCGCCGAGGTCGTCGACGTGGCCGCAGTGCAGCGGCTGGTGCACGTCGCCCACGAAGTGCGCCAGGAACATCAGGCTCTCCGTCGGGTCAACTGCCATCGATGGCAATGAATACAACGCATGCATGAGGCCGGGAAGATCATCCATGGCATTCTAGCTACCAGCATGCATGTTACTAACTGATGAACACGGGGTGTCGATCAGTGATGCTTACATGGGCTGGACGAGTCCTGGAGCGCGGCCGTGTAGTTGTTGATGGCCCCGACCACGCACACGTTCTTGTTACCCTTGGTGTCATGACAGTCCCCTGTCCAAAATCAGTGCAATCGAAGCATAACGTGAGACACGTGTGTAATTCTCATATGCGATCATGTATGTGATTGGCTTTCAGTAGTTGTTGTTGCTTGTGGAACTCTAGCCGCATCTTGCTATGCTGCCCCGACGCCGACGGTGTGGAACTCCACGACTGTTACATTAGCTTGTGGTGCATGCACTCTAACTGTCATTCGGTGACGAGGACCTACCACCACCTACCAACTCCCTTGCCCAATCAGCCAAGCAAACCCATACCCGATTGGCAGGACAGCCACCAGTCAACATTTCACCGTCCATTCCCTAAAAAAAACATTTCACCGTCCAGTCAAGCTGATAATGACTCGCCCCAAATGCATGATAATATTCCTTGTGAGATGCGATGCGATCCATCAAAGATGGGAACTGTTGGCATATGCCTTTTTATTTGAACGATGTTGATGCAGTTAGCTCTAACCGCCACTCACCAGACACATGGATGGATGGATGGATGGATGGATGGGTTGCTAGCTCAGTAGCAGGTGGACGCACGCAACGTGTCGATCGGGACGGGCCTCTAATTAGGCACGTACGTACGGGCTCAAAGGTCAAAGCGCGCTTAACTACCGATCGTGACATGCTGCTGTTACTAGGGTAGTACAAAAGTTTAAAAATTACCGTATTTGCTTGTTGTGAGAGTAAATAAAAGTAAACAACAGTCAACAGCTATTCCCTCCAAAAAAAAAGTAATCAATAGCTCAAGTTGTATCGATGCATGCATATGCCCGGCGCCATGCATGCATCGAAGGTTCAGAGCAAGC